ATAGACATGAAGATGTGGTTTTTGGTTAAAAAAAGGTAACTTTGGCTAGTTTAGAGATTATTTAAAGGTTGAAAGCAGAAAAAAAATGAAATAAATAAACTGAGTGGGTATAGAAAGAAAAAAAACAGAAAAATTGTAAGAGGTTATAAAAGGTGTATAGAAATCTTGCCTTGAGTGGTCAAAGCTGATTGAGATTGGATAGATATGCTTAGAAGGTTTCATTGAAATTAGATTTAATATTAATAATACATGATACAAGGGTAAAATTTGGCTTTCTCACTTAAGGTTTTTATCTAGTATTAACAGGAGATAATAAAAGACCTGGGTTCACCTTTTCAGTAAATTGTAAAAAAATAAAAATGACCAAATTACTTTGTTGATTGTTCTTTAACTATGACCCTTTTAAATCTTGTTCTATTCCTTCTTGGGGATTTCCTTCTGAGTTTCACAGAGACTGAGAAACTGCTTTCATTGGTCAAATAATTCACTCTGTTTGCAACATATGGCCAATTTTTCAGCATTTCCATTATGCATACCACCCTCAGTCTTCTAGACTGGTGGAATATACAAATGGGGTATTAAAATCAATTAACAAAATTTACAGGAACTTTTAAACTTCCCTGGCCTAAGATTCTTCTGTTGGTATGTTTAACTTACGTTCTACCTCCTTAGGAAAATATCAGCTTTCTCCCTTTGAAATAATAACAAGAAGGCCCATGTACCCGGATTAGGTAGCATACAAGCCAGACCTTTTTAAAAATGATATTCTTCATCATTGTAAAGGCCCTATAAAGTTTCTCACTAAAATTTTTAAATTAAAGTTTCTTTTAACACTGAGCTCCCAGGACATGTAGACATTGAAGATCATGACCTTCAATCTAGAAATTATGTTTATTGAAAATACCCTCAAAAAAGATTCCCTCTAATCCTGGTGGAAGTAACCAGGTCAGGTATTGTCAACCAATCCCTGTGCTGCTAAATTCAAGGTCAGTATCTCTTATAACATTTGGTCATCCCTCTATCTATAGATAGCTCTGAAGAAACCCGCCATTGGACTACTTACTTCAAACTTTTCTCTAGGCATGACCACCAATCTATTTTAGATGGAGATTCTACTTGAGGGAAACCTAATTATCTGCCTGTCAATCAAGGAAATAAGCACATGCATTTTATGGTAGAATGCTTTTGCCTTAATGAGGTGTCAATATTCATGGACACTTGATTAGAAAACTTCTTACAACAATTGGAAAAAATTGCTGATTGGCGAAACTGTTGCCTCCATCACAGTTCAACAAAAAGCTATTGATTCACTGGCTGAGGTTGTTATTGACATCACATTGCTTTAGATTATATATTACCTGAGCAAGGATATGCAAGTATGGTGGCAAATATCTCTTACTGTATATATATAAACACTTCTCATGAAATAGGAAAATCAGAAAAGAAGCCACTTGGCTACAACTAGTCACTAATGAAGAACCTGGATTTAATTTTCTTTCTGATGTTTTTAGTTGGCTCCTTAATGGAATACTTTTTGTTGTTTTTCTGGCATACAAATTCTCTGCTTATTATCCTTATGTGCATTATACTTCTACTATTCAAATTATCTCTCATTGTTTTATTTCTTCCAAGAAAATTAAAATCACAATATTCCAAAGACTAGAGATAATAAAACAAGCAACAACAGCTATGTAAATGTATGACTTGACTGAAGTTTGATTCTTGGCACTCTGCGATGCCATCCCAATTTGGCTTTTGGGTGCTCTTAAAATTTCTCACTGAGATGTCTCCTCCTCCCCCCTTTCCCATTGTGGGACAGGACTGCCTAGGAATAAGCCTTCCCAGCAATGGGGGACACCTAGACACTCAGACTTTGATCATCGAAGCTTTCAAAAAGAAATATTTTGGTTAAAAGGGAGAAATGAGAAAGAAAAGAAACTTTTTTATTTAAAAAATGCAAGCCTCCTCTAAATTATGAGGACCAGAGAGGCACAGAAATGAGGCAGCAGTTTGTCCCACTCCCCACCTTGACCCTTGAGCTAAGTAATCACCTCTAGAAACTGTCTGCTATGTGGACTCCAGACTGACTGACACCACAAGCAGCTACAAACTCACCTAACAATGCCACATGCTGGACACCATAACTCATACTGCATAAACAACGCATAGCCAGTCACTAATCAATGTTTGTGTAAAGCAATAAGAATTCCTGACAAGTAAGTGCCCATGTTCCCCCTTTTCCCTTTAAAAACCTGCTTGTAACAAACATGGAATGGAGCGCATAGCCAAGGTTACTTGCATCTGAGTGCTCCAGATAGCCTTCCTCACCCTGGCTCGGGTAGATTCTTTAACACTGAATTTTGTGCCTCAGTTTCTTTCTTTATGTCAAAAAATGTACAAAGTGTTAGCACTTAGGGGATAAAAATCAATAACTGCCTTGTCAATAACTCCAAAAAATTAACTTGAAATAATTAAAGTCCATTAGTGAAGGGATGGGTGAGTAAATGGGTGACCTGCAGCCTCAGACAGCAGCACGTGTGTCACGTGTTTCCGAGGCACAGAAACCACATAAAAACCTCTTCAGCATAGTAGTAACAGAATATGAAAGGTCACATTAAGTTACTGAAAACTCAAAAAGAGGCAAAACTGAGCAAACCTCTGCTTGGTGATAAATAGTTAAGCTACAAATAATAACAAAAAGAATCAGGCTGGCAACACCTCTGGGTGAAGGAGGGAGGTGAAATCAGGCAGCACACCAGTACTGCCCAAGGCAGTTCTTACTACACAGAACAAGAACATATAAACAACATTCTTATTACTTAAATTCTGCATAAAACTATTATTTCAAGAATGCTCTTTGCTTCTTCAGACCATATTACATAATCATTTAGATTTTACAGCAAGAAAATAAGAATCTTACATTCAAATCATGGAATAAAATTCTTGAATACTTGGAAAAACTGGAATTATATGACATAAAGATTATAAAGGAAACAAAAGGGAAACAGCTCAGGCAGGCAGCCTGTGTCTTCCAAGTTCACAAGAAAGCCCATAGTCAGCAGGCTGAACATGTTTCCAAGCTTGGGGACCACTCTCACTGTGGTGTTGTAGCCCAGGGTGTCTCGCTCCAGGGTAGTGAGAGACAGAAACCTGAGAACCCGGGAAATTTATTAAATAATTCTGGAAGCTCCACCCACAAACCCTACTGTTTCTTCCTCACAGGATGGAAACATCTTCCTGATGTTTTTAGTTGGCTGCTTAATGGAATAGATTTTTGTTGTTGCTATTCTGGCATACAAATTCTCTTTTTATTATCCTGATGTGCATTATACTTCTACTATTCAAATTATTAATGCTATGTATCTCTCATTGTTTTACTTCTTCCAAGAAAATTAAAACCATGATATTTCAAAGACTAGAGATAATAAAACAAGCAACAGCAGCTACGTAAATCAATGACTTCACTGAAGTCTCATTCTTGAGACCCGCAGGGTCTAAATTCTCACCAGTGATCACTCACCTGAAGTCGGTTTAAGGTTCTGACCTATGATGTCGTTATTCTGTCAACACTTCTGACACCAAATGTGTGGCATTTGTTGAACATCAATCAATTCTCCAACACTAATTGGTTGTCCAACAATTCAATTCTGACACCGCCCAGAGTTAGCACAGAACCCACAAGTCCAGGGCTCAGTCCCACATCAAGGCTCACACTTCAGATGCCAGATGCAAGCCCTGAGGGCCCATCCATACTTCCAACAACTGCCTATAAACCAGGGGTTCCCATAACCTCCTTCTCAAGTTCAATAACCTGATACAACTACTCATGGAACTCAGCAAAACACTTTAGTTACATTTATTATTTCATCAAATTGCTGCACTTAGAAATGGCTGAATGGAAGGCATGTGTGCACCAGGGAAAGCGGCGGGGAGGCTGGGCTGGAAGGTAATCCTGTAACAGCAATCCCCTCCTTTGTGTACATTAAGAGCAGCTCGCTGCAAATAAACACCCTTTACATTTGGACTTAGATGGTGCTCCCCGTTTTACTTATCACAAAGCCAGCACAGATTCTACAAATTCCCATTTTTGCCTCATAAACAATTAGATGAACAAATGAACAATTGTGTTTTCACTGGTCTCAACAGAGTATCCCCTGCCTCAGCCTTAGCCAGCACACAGCCCCTCTCTGTGCCCTCCTAAGAACAGTCTGCCTTCAGGGTAAATCAGTCTCTCATTTATGATCGAACTTTGCCACTCCACATCCTGCCCTCCCCCCCACCTGTCTTATTTACTCCTCCCTAGAAAAGAAAGCCCTTTTCTGCCTAACCTTTGAGATGCTTGCAGATCTTATATTTGGTACTTTCCCCCTATTGCAATACTCCTTTGCAATAAAGTCACTCCTCATCTAAATCTGAAATTTTTTGTCCATGTCTAAAAACAGCCTCAGGACAATAACAATTGCACTCTCAGAAAGGGCATCAAACACTCCTTCCATCCCAAACCCAAACAAATCTTCCTGTGGATCCCCAGTTTTCCCGGGCTCTGTAGCACCTCTCAGTATAAAGTGCTCCTCCCATGGCTGGTGTGAGCAGGCTGGGAACACCTGCAGGTGAGGCTCCCCGGGAAGAACTCACTGGGCCTTCAATGACCTTTTTTTGCAGGCTCCTTAGCTTGGAGTCACAGGGCTCAGGTCTCTGCTTTTCAATCAGGGTTATTAATGTAAATGAGGCCAATCTTGGTGGCTCATGCCTGTAATCCTAGCACTCTGGCAGGCTGAGGCAGGAGTATTGCTTGAGTTCAGGAGTTCAAGACCAGCCTGAGAAAGAGTAAGACCCAATCTCTACTAAAAACAGAAAAAAATTAGCTGGTGTCCTGATGCATGCCTATAGTCCCAGGAGTGCTGGTGAGGCTGAGGCAAGAGGATCACTTGAGCCCACGAGTTCGAGGTTGGCAGTGAGCTATGAAGATGCCACTGCACTCTCCCCAGGGTGACAAAGCAAGACTGTCTCAAAAAAAAAAAAAATTGTAAATAACTATTTAGGAGGCAGTTAGACTGAACCGACTCTCGTTTTCTGGGTTCCCACCTGAGAATACTGAAATCTAATCCAAATGCATTTTTTTTTGTAAATTACTAATTTACAGAGAAACAATTTAGGCTTTACCAACTATTACACTGCTAATGAGCCTCTGATTATGCAACCAGAACACAGCCACCTTGATAGTCCAAATAAGGCGACTATCTAACTGTAACCAAGCAATTTATGAATCCTCATGCACCTATAAATGTCTCTCCTTCAAGCCCCGCCGGTGGACCCCAAACCACAAACCTGCCTGAGAGCTTCCTAATTAATCGCAGTTTGCTCTAATAAACTCCTATTCTAACGGTGCCTTAGTTTAATTTTCAAAAGGAGAACGGAGGAACGGGGACCCCAGGGACCCCAGCTCCCCCCACGCAGGAGCCCCGCACACCGAGTGGGGATTCTTCCCCGAGGACCCTCCCGTCGTCCCGCACACTCTGGGGAGACGCGGGGCTGCGGGCGCAGAGCTGCCCAGACAGGTTCCGGTCGGGGCCGAAGTCACTTGCGGGAAGGCGACGGACACCGAGAGCTCCGGCAGCCGGCCCAGCCCACGCCACTCCGTGGCCAGAGGCGTCTGCGGCCGCGCCGCGCCAGCGGGGACTCGGTCCGTGGACGCCGGAGCTGACGCGGGAGGCCTCAGTTCCGCCACAGCCTGTTCCGGCCGGATCCAGCCCCCGGGACTCCCGGCCCCGCACGCTCACCATCTCCCGGCTTCCGCGGTGTCCCGGCATCCTCCCTGCAGACCTCCCGTTCCCGCAGGTCACAGGGCGGCAGACGCTGCGGCACAGCCACCTGGCCCTCCCACCGCGGAGGAGAAAGCAGGGAACACAGATGTCACCGGGCGGCTGCGGCAGGAGACAAAGGCTCAGGCGGGTCCTGGGAGCCGCCCCTTCCTCTCCTGCTGCGCCCTCATTGGACAGTTCCCACCCAGCGTCTCTGATTGGGTAGGGCGCCAAGCCCCGCCCCTTGGGGCCGCGAGTGACAGGTGACAGGACCACACACGTTCGCGGCTGCGAGGCGGGCTTCCCCTCTGCGCGCGACCGGCGCTGCCGCAGAACCCGCGCATTTAGCCTTGTGTGTAAGGTTATATCCATGTGTGAAAAACATATATGATATTCGAAACGGGAAACAATATAACAATTATTTAAAATTTTCTGATTTCATAACCTTCTTCGCCTCTGGTCTTTGGAGGAGGCGGCCTGGGCTTTGCAAAAGGAGGGATCCCCTCAGGCGGCGACGGCTGCTGGAAATGCCGCGGAAGAGAGGTGTGAGCCACGCGTGTCGTCTTAATGTTTCCAGTAGCAACAGAAAAGGAAAGGAAAGACACGGAATTGATTGAAATAATTTATTCAACCCAATGTATCCAAAACATCATTACAACATGCGATCAATATCTTATTAATGAAGTTTGGTTTTTTGTACTAAATCTTTCAAAATAACTCTGTATTTTAAACTTCTAGCACATCCCAATTCAGCGAGCACTGTGTGTATACAGTGGCATAGCCTGAGCTCCCTTCCCGTGGCCAGCAACTCAGCTTTAGGGTGTTTCTGGGGTCCCCTCGGCAAGAGGGGTCCATTCAGTCAGCTGGGCAGGGGGTTAAGATTTTATTTTAGTTCACAAGACTCCACCAGTCTTAAGAAAGGTGAATGAGGGGAAAATGTGATTACAAAGCCAGTCTCTCCCCTTGGGGAAACAAAGAGCCGCTTTAGACAAACCGTTCCCCGCGGAATACACCCCCCGCGGCCCCAGCCGCCCGGCGGGAAGCGAGTCCCCAGCCCCAGCCGGGCCTGGGCGCGGGGCGGAGGGGCCGGGACACCCCGCGGGCTCGGATCCGGAGCGGTCCCTGTGGCCCGGCCGGGCGCGGGCTTCCCGCTCCGGGAAGTTTTCTTCGCGGCCGCCCGGAGGCTCCGGCGCAACCGGGGAGGGACGCGGCGGGCGGCCGGGGGTCGGGCCCCGCCGCCCCCGCCCCGCGCGCTCCTGCGGCCGCGGTGACCCGCGCCGCCTCCCCCGGCAGATCCGGAGCTGCGCCCGCGCGCTCTGCGTGGCCGTGGCCGTGGGGGCGGCCCCGCCTCGGAGCCCGGGCCCGGAGCGCGTCCGGCGGAGAGCGGCGGGTGCGGAGGACCCGGCGGCCGAGGAGGGGCGGGCGCTGCGGGCGGAAGCGCCGGGACCGGACGGGAGCCCGGTGGGGAGGGCGCGGGGGCCCAGCGTGAGTGGCACCGCGGGACGGCGGCCGAGCTCCTCGGGCTCCCCTCCCCGGAGATCCGCAGCCGCAGCCGGGGCGGGGATTGGGCGGCACCTGGAGTGCCGAGGTCACCACCCACGTGCGGGGCGGCAGCTGGGACCAGCCGGGCGTGGGTCGCAGCGCCTGCCCCCCGCCCGGGTTCCTGTGTAACTTCGGCCAACGCCGGAGGGAACTTTGCAGGGCGGGTGCGACTGCGACAGCTGAAGCCGGCCCCTGACCCCAGAGGCTGGCACGACGAGGTGACACCCTCTGGCGCCACCATCGCCCGCACCCTGCTCTCGTGACCCGGCGGGCTCAGGGGTCTGCCCCGGGGGAGCGGGCAGCGCCGGGCCGAGGTGAGAGGGCGACGTCCCAGGGCCGTGGGGCCGCCGGCGGTCAAGGCCGGGCGGGACGTGGAGGGGCCAGGAGGGGCCGCCGTGCCGGCGGCGAGGAGGCTGTGCGAGTCCACCCTGCACGGGCGCCGCCGTCCCCGAGCTGCTGCAATCAGGGCCCCCGGCCAAACCTGGCGAGCGCTCTGGGTGCTGCCTGCTCGCACCGCGCTGCCAGCTCCAGGCCGGTGGGCAGAGAGAGAGGGGTGGCCAGGCAGGCGGCTGCCGGGAGCCCGCCCCCTAGGGACAGCCAGCTCCCAGCCTGGGCTAGGGGTCGCAGGCACCTCCGTCCCCAGCTGGCGGCAGCGCGCAGGGAGGTCCTGCAGGCCCGAGAGGTTCAGGAGGGACTGAGCGGGGATGGAGCCGCCTCTGGTGCGGCGGGGGGTCTGCCCGGGCCTCGCGGGCTCCCGGCTGCCGGCTGCCCGCCCAGGCTCTGGGTGTCGTCCTGGAACCTCGGTTTCCTCGCCTGTCTGGGAGGCCTGTGATGGCAGCGCCGTTTCAAACGTTAGACTGAAAATCCCCTTACGCCCTCAGCCTGCCTGGCCTCCTGATCGCGAGCGCGCTCTCTCTCTCCCCCCCACACACTTTAAGAAGCTGCTGAAAGTCTCCCAGTGGGGAAGACAGGTGGGGAGGCAGAGAGGCGGCTGCCTTGGGTTTCAGCGGCCCTTCCCAGTATCTTCCTCCTGTTAGGCTCTTTGAAAATACAAACCTAGCAACACATCATATACCCCGGAGAGCTAAGAAGAACTTCTTATGTGTTTCAAACCAAAATGATTTGTTCCCTGACCAAAGGCCCTCATCTGCCCCCCAAACACAAATGCCTTAGGGTGGCCGGCGTCAGACCTGAGTCGGAACTTGCTGATTGTTCTCTGGGGTTGACCCAGGGCCCTCATGACGGAGCATCGCTCCTCCTCATCCCACCCCTGTGCCTCAACTCTAGTGACCCAGAACTGGGAGCAAAGTTCCTCAGGCAGGGGACATGGCCCTCCCTGGCACCCTGTGGCCTAATGGACATCAGTCCCGGCACAAGAGACCCCGGGCAGGGAATGTCTGTCTCCTCCCATTTTCACATGCTGCAGCCATTTAACGCCGTGGGGTGGGCTTTCTGGGCCCTCAGCCTTCAGGCTGGGATTTTTACCTTGTGCTACAGTGGGGGAAACTGAGGCATGGGGCCAGTAAGTGGCAAAGTCAGAAAAACTCTGTGATTGGGAAAAGCCCTCCAGGCCCAGCAAGGCCCCTCCAGGACTCAGCACCCCTTGGGTTGCATCAGTGAGCTGTTCTTGGCATGGGGCACCTGGTTGAGGTCAGCACCTTGTGGGGTGGGGGTGCTGGCAGGAGCAGAGGCTGTGGGGCTCAGGGAGGGAAAAGGGACCCTTTCCATCCACTTGTACCCTCTCCTGCATTGCCGCTCTCCATCCTCAGGAGGCGAGGGAGATTGGAGGACAAGGCTAAAGACACAGGTGACACCGGATTCCAGGCACTCGGGGATGGCTGGGGAGGGGCCTGCTCCCCACCTACCAAGCCCTGCCCTCAATAGGCAGGTGAGGACCAACACCTGGGGAAAGACCTCCCTGGGGTCACACTGAGGGTCAGGGTCTCCTCAGGATTGCAATGTGTGTCCATTCATTGGACATTTTAATCAGTAATTATATTCTATGGCCTTTTATCTCCAATTAATATATTCAGTTTCATCACTCTAAGTGTCTAGGCTAAATATTGTATGTAAAGAATTAAGGTGGGTCAAACAAAATCTCTCGTGGCTGT